GACAGTGTAAGAGGGCCAGAGCCAATGGAGGTTGTGAAAGGAAACAATGGCAGGTGTTCCCGCAGCCAATTGGAGAATAGGTCTCCCTGCAGCCTACATGGTGACTAGTCCTCTCCAAAGAATCCAGCCACCTACACTCAGGACTGCCCCAAAAGAAAGGGCCAGGAAGCTAGGGGTACAGAGAGCGGAAGGAGGCAGCAATGACAAGAGGCCAGCTGGAGTCCTAGACACAAAAGAAGGAGAGCTGTATCCGGTTTGGAAAAGTAAGATTTTTGGGGGCCCAGTTGAGACTTCATCTCTCAGTGTTGTCTCCAGTGCTCAGGACAGGGGCCTGACATATGGTAGGTAATTGAAAAACATGACAAAATGATGATTTTGTTTGTAAAATGGATAGGTATGGGAAGGAAGAAGACTCATGAACCAAGAAGGGGCTGAAAACTATCATTTCTTTTAAAAAGGGAAAAGTAGAACACTGAGCCCTAAAAAGAAAATCACTGAGCCCTAAAAAGAAATAGAGGCTGATTTGGGGAAATTTGGGCGGGGTATGGTGGCACACACCTGTAATCCCAGCACTAGGGACGCTGAGGCAGGAGGATGGTTGCAAGCTCAAGAGCAGCCTGAGCTACAAAGTGAGCTCAAGGCCAGCCTAAGCTGCATAACAAGACCCTGTTTCCAAAAGGCAAAAATAAAATTAAATTTAAAAAATAAAGTACCAGTTTGCAACCAAAACTGCTGTTACTCAGCTTCTTCATCCAGACTGTAATAAGTACAGTAGTTACTTTCAGAGATTCCCAGAATTGTGGGTAGCAAAGGAAGTAGCCCCCAGGCAGCCGCTGACAAAATCTGATGTTAGTGCTGCTCCTCACTGTCACATGGCCTAAGCTTTCCTTAACAATGGTGTTCCCCCTGAGTAGGTGAGAGGGACAGGGGGAGGGCTATGTGGAAAGCTGGGGTACAGGAATGTTACAAATAACCCAGAAAAGCTGAAGCAAGAAAACAGAAGAAACAAAGTATACAGAAGCCTGAATTCTCAATCTCCTTGAAAATGATGCTGTGGGTCCTTTCCCCTTTCCCCATACTGTGGCTCTACGGTGTCATTTTCAGAACCTCCTGTCTGGAAACAAGTTATTCGCCTCTCCAGCTCTCTTCTGGAGATTTAGGGGTGATCTCTCCTGACCCAGGCAGTCCTTGCTCGCTCACCTCCACAGTTGTCTTTTACATAAAAAATAGGGTCCTGCGCTCCAGCAGCCTCCACCTACTCATGAGGCCCAGGTCGTCCAGCCTCACGTCCCCACAGTAACCAGGCTCTGCTGCCGTCAGTGGAGGAGAGGGGGCGGGAGACAACGGTGACGTCAAAGCGGAGGAAGGAGGCGGGGCGAAGCAGCCGGGGAATGTGGGGCAGGGAGGTTGGAGAGGCAGCGGTTTGGGAGACGGCCAGCCCAAGAGGGCGGCGGCCAGCGCACTTGGGAACATCGTGTTCTCTTGGCTGGTGGCCCAGGACATGTACTCAGTCTGGACGCCACCCCCAACCTAACGACAGCCGTCCCGTCCCAAAGCCAGGGATTCCTGGAGAGAGGATTAGGAGGAAGGGGGTCCCTACTCCATCCCCATGGTTGGTTCTCTTTTCCGAATGCATCTGCCAGCCTTTCGACTCTTTTCTACAGATCCTGGCTCGGTCTTCCCCCCTCCCAGACTGTACACTGGTGCTGGCCTAGTACCAAAGAGCCAGGACAGGGAAGTTGGAGGCCCAGCTTCAGCGAAAGAACACTCACCTTTGCTCCCTCCTAGGCCCCCTTTGGAGCCTGAATATCTCTCGTTACAGTGAGGGAAGGGGGTAATGAGGGAGGCAACCCCAGAATGATTTGGTATCGGATGAGGAAATCAAACTGGGACAAAGCAAGTAGCTCAGTCTGGGACCTGGATTCTCAGAGGAATAGAAAGGGAGGAACGAGGGAATTTGGGCCTGTGCCTGAAGACCAAAGAACCAGGAAGAAGGACAAAAAAACATGACAGTGTGAGAACAGTTCCCAGCCACAACAGTCACATAAATTTCTCACCCTGTCATTCTTGTTTTGTCACCTTATAGCCATTTTAAGCTATATTTAAAAAAAAAAAAATGTGACCCAGCATTGTGCTAAGCACTGTGCATACATTGATTTTATTTAATTCCCAGAACAATACTGTGAGGTATTATTGCCCCTCCATGGTGGACAGCTAAGGCTCAGAAGTTCCTAAAATTGCCTGAATTGCCTGCTTCATAACAAATGGGGTCCAGGGCTCATATCGGAACTCTAATGATGGTTTGTTTGTTTTTGGCTTCTTTAGGAACCCGTGAGTTGTTACCCAACCCTCATTTCGGCTTTGGCAAACCTGGCCCTCCCAAATATCCAGCTGAGTGTAAGTTTGATGCCTCAAACACAGACTTTATCCAATCTCTCTTCCCCTTTTGCCGATTTTGAGACACTCCACACACATCATAGTCTATCTTCCAACGCACACAGAGTCCTTGAGATCATTCCAGGAGCCTCCAGCCCCAGTGATTTCTCAGGAACCTCGCTTCACTTTTCTACATTATCCCACCCCACTTTAACACAGATCTGGTTGTACAGATACCAGAGCACCCTCCTGATGCCTCCTCACCTCCACCAGCATAGGAAGAGGTGTACATGGCATAAACCCCTACACTTCCTCTCAGAAACTAGGTATCCCATGTTTCGGAGACCCAAATCATCCCCTTTACACATGAGATAGACACCCAGGGCCGTGAGGAGACTGGCTTTGCATCGCCCACTCGGCACACCACCTTTTTCAAATCTCATGCCAATATTCTTGCACACACACCCCCCATCTGTCCTACCAGGGCATCTCTGCCTCTTCCAAGTTCTTAAAACATCTTCCCAAACCTCAATCGTGGAGTGGCATACCTACCAGCTCCAAGCAACCTCCAAGATCAGAAGTTCCAACTCCCTCGGGTCACTGAAGGCTTCTGAGCAGTGCCCTCCCCAAAGAGTCGGGCCCAGCACTCTAGGTTAGTAAAGGATCTGATGTCAGTAACTCAACTCCGTCCCTGTAGAGCTGAGTTCGCAGTTCATTTTCGCGACAACCATCAGTGCTTTCACCAGGACGATCACACATTTGCATGATCACTTCACTCTATTAACACCCCTTCTGACTAACACCCACACAGCCCAGGGAAAACCCATATAGAGCGCCCCTCAATTCTCTCCCCGCTAGGCACTCACCGCTCAGAGCACAAGAAGCCAGAGTTCTTCACAATTGGAACTGCAGTAGCCGCACCAGATCCCTCCAGGCCCTCCTACCGTCTGACCTGCCACGCCCCCAAAGTTTATTGGTTTAGAGGCGAGGACCCATGCCCTGCGCCGCGTGCAGCTGCTCAGCCCCCGCAAAGGTTTCATTGGCATCTCTGGTCGCCGTCATCTTCCCATTGGTCTGCGTGACAACCGGTAGTGAGAAATACACGTGAGGGAGGGGTCGCTCTGGCGCATTGATTGGACGCCTGACAGGAAGCCACGCCCTCTATACTTCTAAAGTTCTTATTGGTTATTAGGGACAACCCCCAGTCGGGCTAGATCGGTGACACAACTGCCAGTCCTGCCCTTCAGGCTTTCTCATAGGCTAAGCGGTCTCAGAGATGTAGAGGACACGTGCCCGCGGTCTCACGCGGCAACTTGTTTACCCAGAAGCTGGGGATTTTCCTTGACGACACTTAGCCTGGACTGGGAAGTCTGCGCAGGCGCCTCGAGTTTGACCTGCACGCAAGCGCAGAAGTGAGCAGCAACGGCGTAGGTGGAGACACTAGGCAGACTTTTGTGTGAAAAGAGCCTTTGGCCATGGAGCTATGACCCATGACCCCCAACCTACATCTTTGTGGATCCCCAGAAGACGCTTTAAGGGCAAAGTAATCTTTAGGGCTCAACTCTGGATGACTCTAGCTGCCTTGTTTTCTGTGCTTCAAATCCAAAGAGATTGGTTCACTATACCCAACCTCCCACAGATGACAAGAAATCCAGAGGTTAAGTAATCTGTCCAAATTATCACACTAGTCTACAATAAAGCTAAAATTTGATCCTGGATCCCTAATACCATACTGAAGATGTCTTTTAAGTCCCATGGAAAGAATACTTAAGTCTATAGGGACTCACAAAAACTTAGTATATGGGGAGCCTTTGAAATAGGTGGAAGTTGCAGTGGACTGTATAAACTACAAGAATTATCTGTGCCCCTTGGGAGTGCTGAATCAGAATCTCCAGGGACAGGGATAAAAGTTTATTTTCAAAAGTCTCTCTGGCAGTTTGCAGGCACTAGCAGTTTGGGGAAACACTACTAGTTCTCCTGTACTACATCTTAAGTGCTGCAGCCCTGAGGGGGATGAGCCTAGAGCTCATCCAGCCAGCACCCCCCACTCATCAGAGTGCCTGAGGACAGCGCATCAAGAAGCTGGACACCACAGGCCTTCAGGGTAGGAGCTGAAGTCACGAGTCATAGAACAGAGTGCATGGACAGCACATCACCTTGTCAGCCCCATGCCACACGTGGCTAGACTGCCCCCAGTGGACTTGTTCAATAAAAAGTAACACCCCTAGATGCTGGCACTGTTCTAGGTACAAAGGGGGAAAGATGCTTCATGTAAGTGACCACCTACTTCAGGCCCAGAAGGAATGACCACAGAAATGACTGCAGCATCTTGGAGCTAAATCTAGGAGGGTAGAAAGTTGTCTGACAGCAGACACATGCCCCAACGAAGAGTGTAAGGAGGAACAGGGCAGCCCAGACTACAGGCTTCACCAGGCTTGGGCACAGGGTAATGACACTTCCCACCTCGTGGTGCCCCCTGTGGCCACTTTGGGAATCACATCTTGTACTGCCCAAGGTCAGGACCTCCTGCAAAGCCCAGATTTTGCAATTATGTTTTAAACTTCCCTGTTAAACTTGCAGGTCCAATAACTTTCCCATTAATAAGAAAAATCTTAGACAACAGCTGATTACTCATTACACATTTATTGTACATTTTCACAATCTGGATGCGCCACAGAATTGGGGGAGGGGAAGGAAGAGGGAAGGCAGGGGACACTGGGATAATATGGGGGGGTCTAGAACACAGTACCCCCACCCCCAGCATCTCTCCTACCCTTTCACACCACAATTTAGATCTCCCTGCTCCCTCTCCACACAGAACACCTGGAGTGTGGGAGGAAGAGATTGGGGGCCCCCTCCAGTGGCAGGTTAAGGGACTGCATCCTCAAACCCCTAAAATTGTGCCATTTGAAAAGACATTAGACCTTTGCTCTATCACTTCTGCTAATGAGGGGACAGCTCTTTTGCACGCTTGCTCTCTCTGGGCTCAACAGCCCTGGAGAGGGGTGAGAATTCTCATCATCCTGCAAGTCCCATACACACATTGGCAGTGACTAGTACCCCTACCCTGAATACAGGAGGGCAGTCAAAGGAGCTGGGCAGTGATAGGGGCAGCATCCCCCAAACTGGGGAGGAAGATTTCAATCCAACCTCTAACCTCCTGCAGGGGTGAGGCCAGAGATTTCAGGCAGGAGTTGGGGGGATTCTCTGCCCTATCCCACTCCTCCCCAAGGCAGTGATGATCCCCCCACACACACACACATACTAGCAGCCACCCCTCCCAAAAGAAATCAGATTATGGCCAACTCCCAGCTCTCCTCGTGGGAGGAGAAGGTGGATCAAGCAGATGGGAGGGAGGGAGACCCCATGGGAATGTCAATTGAGTGCCCCACATGAAAACTGGGGAGCAGGAATGTACGGAGAGACCCCGAGTGGCAGAATTATTGGTCCATCACAGCACACTAAACTCCAAGACACTTACACACCAGCTGGGGGGAGGGAGGGGTGGGCACAAAAGGTTTGGAAAATGGGGGTAGGAGGCAAACGACTAGAAGGGCTGGGTGTGGGCAATTCTGGGGACCAGAACAGTCTGGTTCCCCGAAAGCCCAGTTAACCCTCCACCTACAAGTAAAGTCGTGCAAATGAAAGTGTGATACAGGGACCAATAGGGACTAACTCCTCAGTAAAAAAGAAACACAAGTTGGAAATTAAAAAAATGACAACTAAAAATTTTTTTAAAGGATGTCAGTATGCAAATGTATGCTAATTAACATGCTGGAAGCTCCCAGACCTTGGGACTCTTAGGACCAAGTGGGGCCAGTCTTGCAGCCTCCCAAAGGATGCAAAGATGCACCGGAGGAGGCCTAGACAGGTGCTTTTTGTTGGGGGTGGGGGTTGCATGGAAGGGAGGTGTGGGGCATCAGTTACAGGAAGGAGGAGGAGAGGGACTATTGCATAGCAGATGCAAATGAAAGGACTTGGGGCTGGACAGGAAGAGAAAAAGGAAAGGAGGGAGGGAGAGAAGATGATAGGAACCTCAGGAAGGGGTGTTAAGGACAACCGGAAAAATCTTCTAGTAATAAAACTACAAACAGACCAAATATATATAATATTATATATGTATAAATAACAGCTGGCTATTTACAGGGGGGCACACACACGGACACACACACACGGATCCAGGGGAGGGGGGGCTGAAAGATATGGCTGAGAGGTGGAGGAACGGCTGGGGGTGGGGGAGAGGCCCTTCTCTAGGCAGGGCTGACTCCTCAGGGATTTAAGTGCTGAAGTAAACTGTGGAGAGAGGGTGAGAGAAAGAAAGAGGGAGAGGGGAGAGGAAGAGAAAGCAGTGTGTCAGGCCCAGCCCTATTCCAGTCCTCCCCACTCCCCAGCTGGCTGATGTGCCTTCCCCTCTCTTGGTCTGTTTCTCCATTTGTAAAACAAAGGGGCTGGACAGGTGGGTTCAGAGTTCCCTTTAATCCCATCAGGACTACATTCCTTAGTCCTCAGGGCATCTAGAATCACAAATGCTCAAATATAGGTAACTGGCTTCCTTGTCGTATCTCAAGCCCCTGGGCCTTTTCTGTCATCTTCTACCCAATTCCAGAATGCCCAGACTAGGATCTTCGGCCCAAAGGGTCCTCAACGGAACACTGGGACCCACTAGCTTTCCTGTTTCTAAAATCTTAAAAGATAAATTAAGGCTGCCATATGTGTCTTTTGTTGAGAAGTAAAAACTAGGTTAATGACCTTCAAAACCCAGAATTCATAGGGAAAACCTCTCCGAATAAAGGGTCCTGGCCACTTGTGCCCAACTCACCGATGATGATGATGAGAATGATGGCGCAAATCACTCCCAAGATTATCATCATCTGGGGGTGAGAAGGACAGTCAGTCAGACAAACCATGACACCTTTACTAGCCCAGCAGCACTCCTCCCTGCCCCTACACTTACCTTGAGGTTTTTCCACCAGTATTTGCGCTTGAGCTTGGCTGCACTTGTTTCAAACTGGGAGGCCCCCGCCTGGAGTGCATCCGCACGGTCGTCCAGCTCCGAGAGCTTCTGGTCCCGTTCCAGGACCTTGTCCACATTCACCCTCATGATGTCCACCACCTGGGGAGGGGCCAGGAGGTGGGGTGTGTAGCAAGGCCCACCTCAACTGAGGCACTTCTTAGTGCTACACATGAGGCATATACCCCGATGCTCCCAAGCTAACATGCCAAGGACACACACAGATCATGCCTAGCACACCTGGGGACATACAAGGAGCACATACCAGGTTATGCTGGTAGGCAGACATCTACATATTACAGCAACACCCTCTAGCCTCAGCAGAGGGCACCTGCCCAGGCTGGACTGAATAGCCCAGAGTCCTTACAGGTTCATGCTCATAGGGCAACACGGATGGAGCATGGCATGTCTTTCTGCCCAAACCCACAGGCGTGAACAGTCATCACACTCAACCAGACTGAGCCCCAAGCCTGTCTGCCAGCCTCAAGGGCTTCCCCCACTGCCTGACAAACTCTCACACTCACCTCATCCACCTGGGCCTGGGTCTGCTGCAGTCTTCGGTTACTGGTGAGGTTTGGAGGGGGCGCGGGGGGGCCGCCCTCCCCAGCCGGGGCGGCAGGGGGGGCGGTGGCAGCCGTAGCAGACCTGAGGAGCAGGAACTGGTTAAGATCCTGGGCCTGGAGGCTCCGGCCCTACCGCCAGGGCTCCGCCCATCCACCTGTCCATCCTTCCTCCCTCCAGTCCTTTTCGGGAAGGCGACCCGAGAGGGGCCCCGGTCACAGATGAACTGCATGACCTTGAGCGAGGTCCCCATCCCCCTCCGGGCCTCAGTTTCCCCGCCTGCCAAATGAGGGCGACCTCACAGACGCGGTCGAGGGTCCACCCGCAAAGACTAGCGGCCGTGGTGACGGGGCGGGGCGGATGGGCACTGGGTCCGCTCCTCTCCCTCGCGGGGCCATCGTTCCCTCCGGCTGGCCGGGACACGAAGCTCCCCGGCCATGCGCGCGCAGTCCGAGTCACCAGCCGGGACCCGGTGCAGGGGATGCAAGGGGCGCGGGCGGGACTCGGACCCTCCCGGCAGCCGGTTCCCGAGGGCGGCGGCCAGCGCGGGGTAGCGCGCTGGGGCCGGCGGGCGGCCGACTCACATGGCGGAGGCAGCGGGCGGAGGACTTGGCAGCGGCAGTGATGGCGGCGGCGGCGGCGGCGGCGGCGGCGGCGGCGGCTCGCGCTAGCTCCGACTGGCGCTGGCTCCCCGGGACTGGAAGATGGCGGCTGCGCGTCACCCGCATCCGGGCTCTGCGGCTGGGGGCGGGGCGCGGCGGGCGGCGGGAGCGGGCGGGGCGCGGCGGGGCGGCCGCGGGTCTTCGGGCTGGACCCCCGGGGCTGACTCGCTGGGCCCCCTGGAAAGCCGCCGCCACTGCGCCCTGTGTGACCACAGCCGGTCACAGCTACCAAGCCTCCTGTCACCTGCCCCTTACGGCGCACCGCAGTCACGGCTCACCCTTCACCCCAAACCACATCCTCCCAGACGGGTGAAACCAACAAACTAGTCCACGGCCCACGCGGCCCCAAGGCTCGTCCAGATCCCGGGCTGGTGACCCTCCTTCAGCACCTGGAATGGGCTGGGGATGGGAAATGAGAAGGGGCCCTTGCAGGTAGTCCGGCAGTGTAGAAGCTGGGACCCAGCTCCAGGGTGGAGTAGAGTGTGGGAACTGACCTCACTCCTCACCCTGCAAGGTGACGTCCCAAGGGAAGCTGGAGGGATGGATGCACATGTAGCACCCCAGTATCCCCCTACACACACACACACACACACACACACACACACACACACACACACCCAGTCCTTGCTTCCTATCAAGTACCCAGGAAGGGCAGACCCAAGGGTTCCTGGTTAGACAATCTGAACAGGCCCTCTAGGGGGCAAATTTAAGACCCCAGGGAGGAGGGCAGGGGTTGACATTGAAGCTATTCGCATTGGGCTGCAGGCTAACCAGAACCTAGCTCTGCCCCATAAAGGGGTCTGCTGCCCTGGCACAGGTCAGGGCTAAGCCTTGGGTCCCAGGTGAAGGGCCTGGATCAAAAGAGAACAGTGGACAAGGGCAGCGCTTGCAATACTCGGGGTATACGTGCCATTTTACATTCTGATTAGCTTCACAGGTGTGACCTTAAGACAGTTTCCACCCTCCCCCAAATTCAATACATATTAGGTGGCGAATGTGTATTTGTTAAATGATACGATCTATCTGGGTGTGGTGGCACACTCCTGTGATCCCAGCACAGAGAGGCTAAGGCAGGAAGATCACCGTGAGTTTGAGGGCAGCCTGGGCTATATAATGAGACTCTGTTTCAAAAACCCAAAATAATAATAATAGTAAACAGCATGATCTGGATGATACAGGACAGTAGTAGATCGTCCTAGGTCTGATCCATCCCCGTTTTCCATTTAGGTGTTTTAAATGGAGCCAGCAGCTGAAAACACTCCCACTAGCTTCTCAGAAAAGATGGGGCCAGTGAACTATCTGGTGGCTGAATAGGGGGTGAAAGAGGTATGGGGGAGTGCTTACTGCATCCCTGGAAGGGGGGCACTTCATCTCAGACACAGACAGGAGCTGGCTGCTTCCCTCCTCCACGGAGGCCTCGCAGGGCCTCAGGGTGTGAGAGCCTCCTCCACTGCAGTGCCCCACCCCCAGCCCAGGGACTGGCTCTGTCACCAGAGGTGTCACTTCCCGGCTGTCTGGGGGAGGTGAGTGAGCAGGGAGTGTGTGCTGGGTGTGGGGATTCAACCCAGTCTAAGATAAAATGCTCTCAGCTGCCTCCCCCTCCTAGGAACAGCCACATCTCCAGTTCTCCTGTGCTGACAGGTGTCTGGGCTGGCTCCGCCTGTGTAAGAAGGAAGAACAGCTTCCATGGGGGTCTCAGATCGCAATCATGCTGTGAGGAGCTGGCTCTTGCTTTTGGGCCCTGAAGCCACTCTACTTTCTAGTCAGAGAACAAAGATGCCAGATCCAGACTTTTAAGTTCAGAAGCCTCAATGTCTGGGTGTAAAATGGGGAGTGGAAGGAGGTAGCACAGACAGAGTCCCCCCCACCTATGCCAACCCCTGGTACTGGGTGGAGGGAACCTAGCAGGGGAACCAGACAAGACAGCGGACTCTGCTTTAGACACTATCGCCCTTTTTCCTGGCTGAGTCCACTGAATGTAAGAGAGACAGAGCCCCAGATACATGGGGTGTGGCTTTGGCAAGCTAGTAAATTGCTTTTGTCAACGAATCCTGGGGACAGCAACCGCACAGTAGAAACAGGGCAAGGAAGAGCCATGGAGGTGGGGACCCAGGAGGATGGGGCTCAGAGAGGCCTCTTCCTGACCCACCTGGCTGCGGTGCTGAGAAACTCCAAATTTAGATCCACAGTGGAGGCGGGAGAAGTGGTGAGGTGTGATGACCGAGAGTTCACCTGGAAATGAATAAGAATGTTTTGTGAAAGTGGTAGAACACAGACCCAAAATACAGGGGAGCTGAACTGTAGAAAGCGGTGTATTGGCACTACTGCAACAGGGGCTTCCACAGTACTGCTTGGGGATGGGTGGCTGAACTTCAACCTCTCCAGCACTGAGGTTCACTCCAAGCAAGCACCTCCAGGACTTGGAGGTGCTCTGAGGACTGGGGCTAGAGAAGGTTGCTATGTCTCTCCCTCTCTAGACAACTGCTGACTTGCAAGGTAGGAGAAAAGAGGCTGGGTGATTCCCTCCTTGACTCAGGGACTTGCTCCAGCTTCCCAAGTCAAACCTGACTGAACTGGTAATTAATTTCAAGGGCCTGTGTGTCCCTCACCAGCGGCTTGTAAAAACTTTGTAATTACTAGGTGCAGTCAAATTGGGCCTGGGATAGGAGCTAGGACCTGAACTCCACCAGTGAAATCACATGTTCAAATCAGAAGAGCTCTGTGGTTGAGAAGGCACCCTCCACAGCCAGCCAAGCTTTGGGCTCCATGACAAAAGGAAAACGTCCAGGACCTCATGTGTGCCAAATGCTTATCCCAATTGCCTAGAATGCGCAACTCACTCTCTCTCTCTCTCTCTCTCTCTCTCTCTCTCTCTCTCTTTTTCTTTCTCTCTCTCTCGTTTGTGTGTGTGTTTATGTGTGTAGGAGAATCTCATTTTTGGAGACTTTCCTCTAATATCTGCTAGTTCCTCTCTCTTCATATTTATTAAGGAGCCACCAAGAGGCCCAGAGGAAGAAATGTGTGTGTGTGTGTGTGTGTGTGTGTGTGTGTGTAGTGGGTCTTTTGGCTTTTTTAGCACATTACAGGTGTGTACCACCATGCCTGGCTTGTCTTAGGAGGATTTTAAAAGGGAACAACTAAAAACTATAACTATGGTTATACAAAGTTGGGAGTATAGCTAGCTCAGTGTACAGCATTTGACTAACCCATGAAACCCTGGGTTTGACCAGCACTACAAAAGAAATTTTAAATATTTAAAACAAGTTCTAGAACACATAAAAAAGAACCCAGCAGGAAGATGGGCCCTGGGCCCCCTGTGCTGGAGACACAGACTTGGACAGGACCTGTGTGCCCAGAGTTCCGGCAGGCATCCCTGCTTGGGCTGGTGAAGATTTGATCACTTGCCGCGAGTTTGAACAGGGAGTCAACTCTTAAAAAAAAAAAAAAAGAATCTACACATCCTTTATTTCCATCTATATTGTATGCCATGCCCAGCATCGGGCCCAGAGTAGCACATGCTCAATAAACACTGGTTTGGCCTGGCAACCGGGAGGTTCGTTCTAGTTCCAATTGTCCCCTTGGAATGGTATTGTGGAGCTTTATCCCTGGGTTTCATCTTGCTTGTTTGTTTTCATTCTCCAATGCCAGGCATTGCACTTGCTTCAGAAGCTACGATAATACACAAGAAAAGAGAGGAAAACACAGTGCGTCTTTGCTGTGATGAACTTAATGATCAGGACACCTGTCAACCAGACTCAGATTTAAACCAAAAAGAATCTGATGGTTCACATAACTGGGTCAGAACTAGAAAGAGCAGGCTGCAAGTACGCCACGGATGTTCCTCAGCGCTGCTTGCCTCAGCCTTTGCGTCACTTCAGGACACTCAATATGTGCAGCTGCATATGCGTACTTGATACAATGTTATTGTTTATACATTTTCTATATATATGTTGAAAATGGGGAAAAGTTCAAAAGAGCATATAAGGCAGGTATAATGGCACAGGCCTGAGATCCCAGTTAACTGTGAGGCTGAGGCAGGACCAGGACCAGGCTGGGCAAATTAGCCAGATGCTGGGTCCAGGCCCCGGCACTGGGCAGGGAGCATAGTTCAAAAAGTCTTTCTCCCTGTATCCCAGCATTCCATCTTCCTTACAACAACCGATCCTCCCAGTTGCCCATATCCCTTTCCAGAGATATTCTTTGCATATATAAACAATTGTGGGCCAGCCAAATAGCTCACCAGATTAAAGTGCCTGCAAGCAGGCGCAGGGGACAGGGGTTTGATCCCCGGGCTTGCAGCAATTGAGACTGGGCATGGTGGCAGGTGCACCTGTAATCCCAGCTCTTGGGAGGCTGTAAACAGGTGAGTCACTCCGAGTCCAATCTGAACATCCTGTAGACCCTTCCCTAAAAAGCACCAAAAAAGGGCCGGGTAGATGGCTCAGTGGAATAAGCGCTTCCCTGGCAAGCATAAAGGCCTGAGTTCAAACCCCGGTTCTGAAAAAAAAAAAAAAGTACCAAAAAATTGTGTTTATAATTTTCCACTTTGTTTTTTCTTTTTATTTTCCATCCAAGTACTATCCTTGCTTAGCTTCCGAGATCAGACAAGATTGGGCGCGTTCAGGGTGGGCGTAGACTTTTCTTTTTATTTCAGTACTAAGGAAGGATTAAACTCAGGGAGGCATGAACTATAGCCCCAGTGCTTTCTTATTTGTTTTAGAACTGGTCTTGCTAAATTGTCCAAGCCAGCCTCACACTGCCAGCCTCACACTTGCAATCCTCCTACATCAGCCTACAGATTATAGGCATATATCTCAGCAGCTTGCTAATTTTCAACCTATGTAAGCAAACTATGCACTATTCTGCACCTTGCTTTTATCACCTAATGTATCTTTTTTTTTTAAGTTACCATTTTTATTTTTTATTTATGTATATATGTGTGTGTGGCCAGCTCAACCCACCAGGGGGCGGGGCTGGCATGTGGTGCTGGGGGATTGAACCATGGCCCCTGTGCTTTGCTAAGCTTGTTCTAAGTAGGTGCTTTAGACCACTGAGCCATCTCACCAGCCCTCACCTAACGTATCTTGAAGAGTATTTCATGACAGTGCACAGAATCCACTTTTGGTGGTTACCTAGTATTCCATCTAGTATATGGCTGCATCATAATTTAAGCAATTCTCTATAGTCAATTACATAGTTTCGGACCTGCTATCCAAAAAGCAAAGAATATGATCTACATATTCCTACGGTACCTATATGCAAATATATAGGGTTAATTCCTACAGACGAAGAGTCTACATCCAAGGCTATAGATGTTTGTTATTTTGGTTGATTGTGATTTTGATGGGTGTGTAACCAGTTTTGTTTACAGTACTAGAGGTTGAACTCAGAGCTTTTGCACTGAGCTACATCTCCCCATCTATTTATTTATTTATTTCATAATACCAGGTTTCAAACTCTACCTTGCACTTGCCAAGCAGGCGCTTAAGCTACTGAGCTATCTCCCCAGCCCCACTGCTATTTTCAAACAAGGACTTGCTAAGTCACTTGTCCAGCCTGAGTTCATATTTGCAGTCTTTCTGCCTCAGCCTCCCAGAATATGCCACCATGCCCAGGTGTAGTACTAGGCTTTACCCCACCAATAAACAGATGAGGCCTGTTCACTCATGTCTTCTCCCATAGTATAGGACTTTTGGCTTATCACAAATATGCTAAGTTCAGGAGCTGGGGAGATGGTTCAGTAGAATAAGTGCTTGCCTGGCAAGCTCAAGAGTCTGAGTTCAATCCCCAGTTCTGAAAAAAAAAAACAAAAAAAAACCAAAAAAAAAAAACTAAGTTCAAGATGATCTGTACTTCTCCTATGGTGAATGAGGTTAGGCATCATTTTAAGTTTTACAGCTCTTTATTTCATTATCTGTGAAATGTCTAGACATTTTTATGTTTTTATTAGATTTTTGGTATTTTCTTACAGAATTCTGGGAAGGCTGTTGTTTTATTTTATTTTGTCTTTTGAGACAGGGTTTCACTATACATCTCAGGTTGGCCTTGAACTCACTTTGTAATGCAGACTGGCATTGAATTTGCAATCATCCTCCGAGCTCAGCTTCCCAAGTGGTGGTATTACAGGCAGGCACCATCATGCTATTTATATTTTCATTTTTAATTAACACATAGTAATTACACATTTATAGGGTCTGGCTTGACATTGTAAAACATGTATACAATGAATAATAAACAGACTAGGTTAACCAGCATATCTATCATGTCAAATATCTACCATTTGTGTTAGAAATTTTCTGAGTAGCTGTTTTTTTTTTTTTTTTTTTTTTTTTTTTTTTTTTTT